AATTTTGTAAATTTCTGTCAGGTTGTCCCTCATTCTTGATGTTCAAGTGGAAGCAAACCACGTTTGCCCAATCTCTCCTCATAGTTAATATTCTGGGCAACATCCTGATAAATCTCACTAGCCTGTAATTTCCTGGATTATCTGAGTTGGCTGTCTTAAACAAAGGAACAACTTTGGCTATTTTCCAGTCCTCTGAGATGCCTTCTGTGATTAAAGAGGATACAAAGATTATGTACAAGACCTCAGAAATTTCCTCACCTGCCTCCCTTAGCATTCTGCGATAGATCGCATCAGGTCCTGGCGACTTGTCTAACCTAATGCTTTTTAAAACATCCAACACTTACCTCCTTTTTTCTATCAACAAGCCCCAGAAAATCAACATCCCCCTCCCGTGACTCGCCATCCTCCATATCCTTCTTCTTTGTGGATACCAATGCAAAGTATTTGTTGAGGACATTGCCCATATCCTCTATCTGTACACAAAAATTCTCTCATTTGTCCTTGAGTGGACATACCCTTTCCCTAGCTACCCTCTTGCTTCTTATGTACATATAAAATGCCTTGGGATTTTCCTTAATCCTGTTTACGAAAGACATTTCATGACTCCTTTTAGCCCTCCTTATTTCTTGTACGAGTTCTTTCCTGCTAGCTTTGCATTCTTTGAGTGCTCTGTCTGTCATCAGTTTCTTAAAACTTATGTATGCCCCCTTTCATTTTTGACAGAATAAACCCAGAAAATCATATGTCTTATTTATTATGCATATGTAACCATGTTCTCTAAGAATAGATTCTTCTCTGACATTTTTCTTGATGTCAATGTGCTAAACACACAGAAGGTAGAAAGCCTCATTTGTATATAAGAACTCAATATCTAAGCACATCAATTTAACACATCTCAGAGGTTGATAAAAATCACTAACGTATTCTGTCATCACTATTGATGGCTGGTTGATTTCACATTTGAATTAGTGGTGCTGGGTTTAAACAGTCACTAGGTGGGCTCTGCGCTAGTGTTCCTACCTCTGGGCAAAGGGGCCTAGGTTCAAATCCCATGTGTTCCAGAGGTGTGAACAGGTTGATTTAATATATCTACATTGTTGCTCATTTATATGCCCCATTTCTGCTATCGTCCTGACTGCATTTTCACTTCCTATGATACTTATCTTGCATATCATCCATATTGGTGCTTTTATTGGAATAAAATCTGTGTAAACAACATGTCTATTAACTCATGATTGATGCTTAAATTGTTTCTTGTTTATATTAACATACCAAAAATAGAAATTTGTAAATTGAACCCGAAGATGGTTCACTTTGGCTTTAGTTGTTTGCTTTATTGTTCTAGGTGGTACGGTCAACCCTTCATTCAGGAGGCGCCCATACAGTAAATCAAGGGCAGCCTCTGATATCAGACTAGCGCTTAGGCACAATCGCTCATCTGTTCAAGGCAGTCAGGGTCAGGTTTCTGTCCTCAAAGGGGTTGGGGAGCCGAATGTCAGACATCCCGCCATATGTCTTCGCTCTGTCTATCATGAGTTGTTTTATCCTGGAATGACTAAAAGGGAGGAATTGAGTGAGACAAGGTGGGTGGGCACAGCTATTAGTGCAGGTGCAGGGGGAGGAAAAGTGGAGAGATGTGCTGTGTGAGTGAGCAGGCAGTGAAGAGGGCATGGAGCGTTAGTGACATGGGTAGGAGTGAGTGAGGGAAGATGTTGCAGGCAAAAGTGACAGTAACAGAGCATGAGCCTTGGTGGGAAATGTTGTGATTATGAGATAGCAGGGAGAAGATGGTGGCACTTTCACTAGCAGAACTGCTAGTGCTTAGGTTTTATCCAGATAATGGAACTGCACTAACCAGGGTGGCAATTTTGGACCACATTGCTAGGGTCTGGTGTCATGGTCTTTTCTGCTGGTATTATGGGAAGAAAATGTCCGGCCTCTTCACCACCCCATCCACCATCTCCTCCAATTCCTCCCAACCTGCTATGTTTGGAGGTAAAGTCACAACCTGTGCAGGACAGAGCCAGACTGACAGTGCTTGACTGAATGCAAAACAGCCTTTTAAAGATGGCACTGGCAGTAGGAATCCTGAGATATCCCAGCAGTGGCAAGTGCTTCTGGTTACGGTGAGTAGGAGAATCAGGCTAGCATCAGATGAGAGGGTCTGTTACAGGGATACGGAAGACATACATTTGGGATAACATCTTCAGAAAACATGAATCCTCACAGAGAGAAATCCTCCATGAAATTCAACAAAAAGTGCCACTTTGCCAAAATATGCTGATATTCAGCTCCAGGTGTCTCTAAATTGGATAGTCTGTATAAATATCAAAGAAAACTTGCCACCATTTTGCTTTAAAATCTCACTTATCAACAGTATCGACTAAACTTGTAAAATGATGTCAGCCAGCTGTTTGGGGAGTGGATTGCATGTAATTCAAAGACCACTGATATCCTACATAAATCAAATAGCTTAGAGACTGTTTCTTCAGTGACAAAGGCAATGTTATCCTTTCTTAAAATGCTGTCCATAATAGTAGCATAAAACATAGCATGAGGGACACTTAGCCTTCAACATTCACAGTCATATAGATCTAAAATCTGCAATGAACAATTTGGGTTTTAATTGCTAGGTGGTCAGGTCAACCAAGAAACAAGCCTGCATGTTAAATATCAAACCATTGATCTAAATGTTGCAATTAGTAGTGAATCAATGGGATTTACCTTGAAGGAAGCTATTGTAGAGACCTTTTTTTTTAATTTTTCTGTATTTTGCTTGTGGACTGACAAGGTGAAAGGACTGTTTTAAAAACCAAGATGGTTTATTGGATTACTGCATTTTGTAAAAGCTATTGTAAGTGCACTTTAGTCAGCTATTTCATCAATCAGTATGGGTGGGCTTACTGTGGATGAGCTCAAGTCAGGAGACGTATAAGAAGGGAGATTTAGTCAGCCACAAGTAGCTGATTGCTTTGTTGAGTTCTGACCAGTTGTTGATGCTAAATGCGTCTGTCTGCGAACAACTATGTGACAGGCTCTCAGGTAACTGCACAGCTGTGAGTGAATGGTCTAGCCAGTAGTCGCTCAGACCTCTGTAAGGCAAGATCTGTTCCTTCCTTTGTGGTAAAAATTGCTAAAGTTTGAAGAGGGGCACTTTATTTTCCCTCACCAGATATTGAAAGCTGTAGCTTTTAAGCAGTAAATCAGATGCTTGAACCAGTTACACTGTGCCTCCTGCAAGCAAGTGGAAGTACCTGAAGAAGAGAGGTTAAGGAGCAACAAGTCCTGGCAAGCCAAAAGAAGCAGTTCAGCAAATGCTTTGGACTGTCTTTCCAGTTTGTCCCTTCACCCATAACACCAATGCTTTGTTGTCCATCTCTGACTGTCTATGTGCATATCTATTGGTTACCTTTAAGGGAATTAGGGTTTTAACTTGTAGTTTATATGTCAACAGTTCATAGTAACTTAAAAGGGTGCAGAAAAGATTTACAAGAATGTTGCTGAGGGTTGAAGGGTTTGAGCTATAGGGAGAGGCTGAATAGGCTGGGGCTATTTTCCCTGGAGGGTCAGAGATTGAGGGATGACCTTATAGAGGTTTATAAAATAATGAGTGGCATAGATCGGGTGAATAGCTAAGGTCTTTTTTCCCAGGGTAGGGGCATCTAAAACTAGAGAGCATAGGTTTAAAGTGAGAAGGGAAAGATTTAACAGGGATCTAAGGGGCAACTTTTTCACACAGAGGGTGGTGCATGTTTGGAATGAACTGCAGATGAAGTGGTGGAGGCTGGTACAGTAATAAGATTTGAAAAGTATCCAGATGGATACATGAATTGGAAGGGTTAAAAGGGATATAGGCCAAACACTGGCAAATGGGACTAGATTAGTTTAGGATATCTGGTCGACATGGACAGGTTGGTCTGAAGAGTCTGTTTCCATATTGTACAACTCAATGGCTATTTATGTGTAATGGATATTAATTTTTGTTTAGTGCAGATATATGGACTGTGCTTTCTATCAGCCTGGACCTAAAAAGACAGATAAGTTGGGGGAATTTTGTGAACTTTGATAAAATCTTTAAACTCTGTGGTAATTCTGGAAAAGCCAGGGCTTAATCTTCAGCATAATACCCAGTGAGGTATGACACTACCCACAGACATCTAGTGATCTTCATGATATGGCTTTCCCCTCTTTGAATGGCAGTTTAGCAACAAGTCAAGAGATGAGTTGATGTGTCACAGCAGTGGTGTCAGCAAGCAAGCAGGCAATCAAGCAAACAGAAATAGTAACGCACCGAGAAACCTAGAAGTTAAGAACAGTTAAAGTCCTACACTCCTACCTCCATTTATTTACAATAGCTTATACAAGAAAATTCAGACTTCTTGAAAATATATGCTAAAATAAAGATACACAGACCTTAAAAGCAAAACATTTTCTAAAATATGTGAAATTTTTAATCAATGCCAACAAGTTTGACTTCCAACATCAAAAGAATAGCTTTTCGGGGGCATTGATGGCTTTTAGCAATAATTGGGAAGTTTGTATTTCGTTAAATTCAGTTTCACTTTATTCAACAAAGTGCAATATTTTCCAGTGTTTTAGCGATGTATGATGTATGAGTGGAAATTCTAATCAATCCATATTTGCAATAAGGATTGCAGTCTGTTGGAACTTTCTCAGCATATTTTATGAATGAATGCAAACTCACTGACAACAGCTTCTGGATTTCCGTGTTGTTCTGCACATGTCCAAACTCTGAAAAATGCTGTTGGTTTAAATGGTGAATGCAGATGTGCAAAATCCAGGCCATTACAATCAAAATGCTTGGTTTTCAGATTTAATATAATCATTAGCTATTGTTAATATTCTAATTATTTTCTGACTTCGTTTGTATGTTTTGAAAGTAACAACTATGTCCAAATTTGCTTTAATACATATGTATTCCAACATCAAACCCATTTGACATGCTGCCTAGTATGAAAATCATTCATTTACTTTTTTAGGTCGAATGAAGCGTGATAGGCATGTACTACAAAAGACCCATGGAGAGGGAAGACCCTGTTCCTCTCAGCTAGTTCAATACCGACCTTGCCTTATTAAGCCATGTTATAGCTGGGAGTTTGGTGAATGGTCTGCATGTAAAGTTGAGGTAAGATTCTCACATTTTTATAGCTTGTCTCAGGACTGCAAAACTATTTTGTGCAGGTATACATGGTTGCAGTCTGACCAATGTAAACTGTTGCTGAAAAGAGGAAGGATATTAACAGTTAAAGGATCAAAGTAAAGACTTTTTTATTCATTTAGGCTGAAGCTATCCCTTCTTTTACAAAATCCACACCACTTGGCATTATTTTTTTGCTGAAAAGTGCAAGCTTGAGACGTCTGTGTGACTGATGCTAGTTACCTGCCTTGATTGGCAGGAAATTAAACTTATAAGAGGCATTCAAAATATCAATCTTTGTTTTGTAGTTACCTCTCCTCATCTTCTTTTGAGAATTAATTGCTTTACATCAGCATGGCATTTCTTTCACAAGAACCAATCAGTAAACAAATGGATGTCACCAAAGGAGATCCTATTTTCCTTTGTGAGTCAAGAACTCAACATTCCACTGGAACCAATAGATTGATGGATGGATGAAGGAGAGTGCCCAAACGTGGGAGCATTCTGTTAATGTGCAAAAGTTTAAACCAGTAACAGTTAAAATTTCCAAACCCCTAATTAAATATTTTGCATGAGATTTTACTTTGATCATGGAAAGGAGAATATAGATGAACTGAAAAAGTCTGGAACAAGTGTCAGAGATAGAATCATAGAATCCCTAGAGTGTGGAAGCAGGCTATTTGGCCCATCAAGTCCATACTGACTCTCCGAGCAGCATCCCACCCAGATCCACTCCCCTATCCTACCCCTGTAAACCTGCATTCCCCATGGCTAATCCATCTAGCTTGATGTGGAGGTGCTGGTGTTGGACTGGAATGGACAAGGTCAGAAATCACATGACACCAGGTTGGACCTGTTGGACTGTAACCTGGTGTCATGTGATTTCTGACCTTGACACCTAGCTTGCACATTCCTGTACACTATGGGCAATTTAGCACAGCCAATTCACCTCACCTGCACATTTTTAGATTGTGAGAGGAAACCGGAGCACCCGTAGGAAATCCACGCATACACGGGCAGAATATGCAAACTCCACACAATCATCTAAGAGTAGAAACAAACCCAGGTCTTTGGTGATGTAAGGCAGCAGTACTAACCACTGAGCCACCATGCTGGGCTGATTAGATACAGATAACTGTAGAAACATAACTAATTTTGAAATAATTCAAATTTTGTACTCAATGCACCAATTACCTGATGATATATACGCTTGACTGTTGAAAAATATCAGAGATTAAATAACAGAAGCTCTGGCCACAATTTCACAATTCTTCTACAAGTTAAAATTTGCATTGTTTGAATAATTTTTACTCAGAATTTTTGCTGGAACATATATTTTCACTAATTAAAAAGGGATACCCACAATTTCTTAACTTGATTTTGGATTTGAACACAGTTAGTTAAAGCCATAAAATGTTCTTTGGCATTTTGAGTTTTGTAAAAAAAGTGCATGGAGCAGAAGTGTAAAAATTTAATGGCAGGGATATCTACATGAAGAGGTAAGGAATGGATATCAGGCCTGAAAGCAGGAATAATGAAGACTTAAGGGTGGCCTTGCATTTCATTGATGGCTCCAGGCTTCTCAGGAAAGTCAGAAGGCCTTGTTCCACAGGGCAGAAGGAGGACACCTAAACAAGCAAGCCTTGTCGAAGGTCATAAGGAAGATCAATGACCATGGATTCATTGGGAGAAACTCAAAGCCAGAAGTACTTCAATGACCATCTTCACTACACCAGAGTGAGTACTCTGCAGCATGGTTCCCTTATTAAGTAAGGCCAACCATGTCAGTGGTAATTGAGTGAGACTGCACTATATCCAGTGGAAGAAATAGATGCTGCTCAGGCAAGTGATAAAAGTCTGGCTATTTTGCAATGTCATTTCTGGGGCCAGATGTCAGATGCTTTCAAGTGGGACCAAAACGAAGAGGTCAGATGCCAGCTGTTCAAGTGTTGTTCCTGTTATTTTGGGATGATTGACATTCTTCTTCATGGCATTCTGAAACAACTGATATTCCTCTTCTTTGTTTCTTCAGGAGATGAGGGTTCACAATGGGAAATAAAGGAGCCAGATTGATGGCAGAGTGCCATTTCTCACCTACTAATGCCGTTGGAGGAGGATGGTCTGGAACTGGCAGGGTAGCATGCTGTCTGCTCCATTGCAGATGGAAAAGCAGGGCTGCAGGCAGGAGAGGGTCTGTACCCTAATGATTAGGCATGAGGACACCTTCGATGAACACAAGGGATCGTGTTCCTGTGTTCTCCATTGTAATTGGATTGCTCAGAACTCAAGCCAATTCTAGAGAGTTACATTTGGAAGTGTAGAACCCTATGATCTTTCTGTTTTCTCATGCAAGTCAATCACATGAAATGAAAATTGGCATTTCCGGGGCACAGTTATTTAAATCTCAGAAAGTGGAGGAGGAAAGTGCCTCAGAGGGTACACAGCCACATCATTCCTTTGCACTCTCTACTAGTTCAGATACCCTTTCACTGGTGGGTGTGTGCTTGAGCTTAGGTTTAAGGTTAAAAACTTGTGAGAACATCACAAGCTCAGGAGCAGCCGACAGTAGACTGAGAAAGACATGGCCACTGACATTTGGAAGGCTGTGAGAGGCCAGGCCCTTGCTGAGCCCAGGCTGATGATGTTCCTGTGAGGTTGTTAGTAAAGCAATAGAAGCTGGAAATTCAGCATCTATTGTACCTGTGCAGGAGCTGTAAAGAATGCCTGGTGACGGCTATCCTCAAACAATCAGAGTGTGACCACCAAGTCCTTTCAGGTCATTGGGCAGCTAAGTTAACAGCCTTCCTCTATTGCAAATGGCAGGGAAAGGGAATCACAACATAGCAGCACTCCTAAAAGAGTACAAAACACACTAGATGGACCATGGCTTCCTGAATGAATAAATGCTTGAGGCACATATGTGTGCACCATTGTTTGTAATAAAGGCGTTAGTCATTTTCTCAACATTTACATCTACTACTGAATTCCCTTTGGAATCCAAAATGTATCAAAGTCATGACCAATGTCAGCTTCAGGAAGGCTAACCAAGACATCCATTAGTACTGTGATCTAACCAGTCAGACTAAGTGAGCCAAAGGATTCAAAGTCATTGGTGCAGTCCCCCAGATGCAAGATGTGATAGACCCCATACATGTAGCCATTGTGGATCCCACAGTTTAGCCAGTAGACTTTATTTACAAAGGCATTCCATTCCATCTTTGTGAAACTGGAGAGAAACCACAGTTACTATATCCTGCACATGTGTGCTCAGTTCCCTGGCCCTCTACAAAGTGAGGATAGGGAATTAATTAGAGATAATAAGGAAATGATAGAAGAAATGAACAAATATTTTGCTTTATAAAAACCAAAAGAACAGCAGATGCTGGAAATCAGAACCAAAAACAGAAATTGCTGGAAAAAGCTTAACAGGCCTGGCAGCATCTGTGGAGACAAATCAGAGTAAATGTTTCGGGTCCAGTTATCCTTCTTCAGAACTTCCTCAGAATATAAATATCTTGCCTTGGTTTTCACTACAGAATCTGAAAATTATTCCAGCAATACCTGTAACTCAGAAGGTGGAAGGGAGAAAGGAGGTTACAATCACATGGAAAGTGATACTAGGTAAACTATAAAATGTCAGGTCTTTGGGTCTAGATGGACTTCATTATAGAGTAGCTAATGAGCTAGTAGATGCATTGGTGTTAATTTTCCAAGGTTCCCTTTATCAGGAAAGATCCCATAGATTGAAAAGTAGCAAAGATAATTGCCCTATTTAAGAAAGATGGAAGCACAAAATAAGAAACTACAGGCCAGTTAGCTTAACATCAATGCTGATGCCAGGCAGCATCAGAGGAGCAGGAAAGCTGACGTTTTGTGTTGGGACCCTTCTTCAGAAATAGGGAGGGGGAAGGGAGCTCTGAAATTGATAGAGAGAGGAGGGGTGGGGCTGGGGAAGATAGGTGGGATGGTGATAGGTGAGTGCAGGTGGGCAGTGGTGGGGATTGGTCAGTGAGGTGGGAGGAGTGGATAGGTGGGAGAGAAGACAGACAGGTCAAAGAGGTGGGGATGAGAGGGAGGGTTGGTCATGGGATGAGGCCGGGGGTGGAGAGATTTTGAAACAAGTAAAGTCCACATTGAGACCATTGGGTTTCCGAGTGGCGTCATTGTGACACTGGAGGAGGCCCAGGATGGACATGTAGGAGGGTGAAGGGGAGTTGAAGTGGTTCACGACTGGAACGTGTTGTCATTTGTCGTGAACAGAACGCAGGTGCTGTACAAAGTGGTCTCCAACCCTCTACTTGGTCTCACCGACGTAGAGGAGGCCACATCGGGAGCAGCAGATGCAGCAGAGGTTGCAGGGAAAGGGCCAGGTGTGGTGGGGCTAGTGGGGAGTGTGGAGCGGACGAGGGAGTCACAGAGAGAGCAGTCCATCCGGAAGGCAGATTGGGGTGGGGAGGGAAATATATCTTTGGTTGTGGGGTCAGATTGCAGGTGGCGGAAGTGGCGGAGAATGATACGTTGAATACGGAGGTTAGTGGGGTGATACGTGAGGACAAGGGGAATTCCGTCTTTGTTTTTGTTGCGGGGAGGGGATGTGAGGGCGGGAAATGCAAGAGATGCGGTCGAGAGCATTTCCAACCACTGAAGGGGGGATGTTGCGGTCCTTGAAATAAGAGGACACCTGGGATGTTTGGGAGTGGAATGCCCAATCTTGGGAGCAGACACAGCGGAGGCAGAGGAATTGGGAATAAGGGATTGCATTTTTGCAGGAAGGTCAGTGAGAGGAGGTGTAGTCTAGGTAGCTGTGGGAGTTGGTGGGCTTGAAACTGATATCTATTTCTTTCTGAATCTAAAAAGAAGTTCGTTTTCCCCAGCTCCAATGTATTAAACACTGGGGAGAATGAGGCACAAAGTTACCTTTACACAGTTTTTCTTCTTGAAGAAAACTGTTGTAGTTGGAAAATGTAGCCCTGAAGGATGTGGATATT